CAAAATATTGTGTTATGTTAAAACATACTTTTTTCACCACCTCGATGCACTCCACCAATCCCTCCAGTCACAAATACAGAAATTCCAACTTCGTGAGCAATAACCATTGTTCCTGCAACTGTAGTTCCACCAGTCAATTGCTAGGAAGACAAAACACATCTACATTCTTAAGATTCTCAGCCTTTAGCCTACAGAGCAAAATATAACAACCACAAAAATGAGTTTCATAATGTTTTTTTTATATATAACTTACCATGCATTTTCATACATAAGAAACAATCTTTTAATAAAAATTTAGCTCAAAAATTTGCATTTAAAGATACAAGAAAAATATTCATGTCACATCATAAATATGGTTAATTAAATGGGTGGGCACACAGTTGAGCAAAGTGTTCTTCATTTCAGACATTATGGGGAATGTTATGAGATCCTCCCTTGTAATTTATGCATCCTTTTAGGGTTGGTAATTATTACATATGTAAGCTTCAAGTGTTGAACAATAGAGGGTGTGAAAACATCTCTTAAATTTTTTAATTACTTTGCAATCACTAACAATTGAAACATCATAATTCTTTATATTGTTAGAGAAAATAAACTTATTCAATGGGCATTATAGAATTATAAAATAACAGCAACTAAACACTAGATTATGAACAAATTACAATAAAACCAATGATGTAATGATTGTATAGATTCTGCCAATTTTTACTGTTACAGCATGCACCATAATTAATGCATAAATTATTTATGATACTTTCAATGTAAATATTTATTGATTAGTTATGTGTTTTTGCTTTGAGGTCCACAATGTTAAGTCAGTAAAGGAGAAGTTACATAACCAGTCAAACTTCACAATAACAAGGAACTTGCAATCAGTAAATGCATAGTCTGTAACAAGTTCCATATCATACTAGATTATAAAATAAGTGAATTCACTGTCAATAAAACAAAAGTTTGTTTAAAAAATTAAAGACAATATAAGTTCAAAATAATCAAAATTCAAAGAATCAGTTTATAATCCATATTTGCTACAAGCCACAACAAAAACATTCACAGATTTTTTTTTCAAAAGGCTATCAAGCTGTTTTTGATTGAAAGGTGTCTATCACTTGCATTGTTTCAGCATTGCTTTTAAGATGATTCATTTGATGCACTGTTTAATCCTTGTTGACCAAATTTTAGTCAGGATTTTGTACTACATTTTACCATTGTAGCCAACTGTCTTTGTAAATGCACTTGAAATAACAGCAACTAATTCAGTCTCTCAATTTCAACCTACCACACTTTCCTTGATGCAAAATGCATCGGCCCATTTTTTGTGTCTTTTTTTAATAAGCCTCGTTCCAAGCTTGATATCAATTATCATTAAGCAATGAGTTTATTGTTGCAAAGTCTAAAATATAGGCTAAGCTCCAAGATCCAACTAGACCTAAAGAAGATTGTGTTGCAATATAAATATTATGCTACTAAGATGGAAGTCTAACTACATAAAATTGTTCAAGTGGATAAGGGAACTACTGTTTAGTTGTTTTTATTTTATTTTTCTCCAATAAATCATTAAGTTACATTATCAACAAGACTGTGGACATTTTTTAACCATTAAAGACCCCAGTAAAACAATGTACATATTAATAACTGAAATATAAATGATTTAACTTACATCAGGTTAAAATTTCATGATAAGAAAGAAATACACTGTCAACAAATACCAGGTGTTTTCAATCCAATTAGGTCAATACCAAAATGCATACATGTTTCAGGATGTGTGGTGTGATTCTAACTGAAACATCATAATTAGGTTAAGTATTAATGGTACATTTACTTCCATTAACAATGACTTTTATTTATGAGTTAGATCATCTTGACTCTTCTTTTCAAATGTTTTTAAGAACAAATTACTGACAATTGAAAAAAAGACAAAATTTATATCATTATTATAACTTACCTTACTTACAACATATGGCAAATCTCTCCTTGATATTTTGGATATTTTCCTACTTTCTGCTAACTCTTTTAATTCTGTCTTATTCATACCTAAAATAACAAAAGAAAACAAAATTTATCAAAGCAGAAAAACTAATAAATTATCAGAAACTACCAAACTAACAGATTTCTAATAGAGTTGCTTAAATAAAAGACCACAATTCTAACGATCTGTTATGATCAAATAATTACAAAGAAGTTAACAGTTACAATCAAATAACTAAGTTTTCATCAAAGAGATCCAATATTTCAGTTTTAAGCTTCTACATATATATATCAGAAATTAGTTCAGCAATTTATTCACAAAAACTTATACTATATAAACAGCAACTTTAAAAATTTAATGTGACATCAATAATTTTTTATTAATTCAACTTAGCAAGTCCATAGAAGCACATAAAAAAAATTCAATAATGTATATTTAATAAATTTAGATATACAAAATTGATACTTTATTGTTGTACCTATTAAGACAAAGAACATAATTATAGAATCATTGTCTAGTAATTCAATTAATAGATTCACTGTCACTCGATACACATGTACATCCAAGGGTATGTTAGTCAGTGCCGCATGCATCTGTCAACCATAATATTGAGGCAAATGCATTTTATTGGAAACAGCATACATTAAAAGTTAGTTATGCTGCAACAGTACTTGCATGAGGGTCTCTTCTTGTAGAAATTTTGCTTGATTGTAAATCTTTTGTTTTTATATATATTTTCTGGTAGGCTTTTATGAAAATAGTACTCATTGTAAGAAAGAATCCAAACCCCCACAGAAACTTTAATGTGTTGTTCCCATGACTATAATTTACCCTTCTTGTACATTTAGAATATACCCAAAAACCATGACAAAATATAAAAAACAGATGACACACATGTGGCACTCATAAAATAATTTTAGTTACAATGCCAATGATACTCATGTGCGTCATGGTACAGATTTTAGTTGAATAAGCATATATATATGTCCATTAATATTATTTCCGATATCATTTTCCATTATTAAAATGCTTCTAATGAAAAAATAAAACCAATGGCACTTAGCATGGGTATCAATGTCTGAGGCAGTACTGAATGTTTTAATAACAGTTTATAAATACCATATTTCAAATCCATTCTTTCTCTCTACCAAGATGCAATATTTCACCAGAATGAAGACATTTAAATTTCCTCAATTACTCCATAGAGCATGCAACAACAGATACAACCTCCTCAGTTACTCCATACAGCATATAACTACAGATACAACTTCTTCGGTTACTCCAAACAGCATGCAACAGCAGATACAACCTCCTCAACATTGTACTTTATACAACATGGAACAGTATATAACTCACTACATTTCTCCATATAACATGCAACAACAGATATAATCTCCTCAATTGCTCCATAGCATGTAATAGCAGATATAACTTCATCAGTTACTCCATACATCATAGAACAGCAGATATGACAATGTTATTCTAAGCTACCATACCATCTTTGACAGTAGCCTACAGTCTTATAGTTACTGATCTTTGGCCTAAATTACAGGTCTAAGTTACAGTTTACTCACAACCTTCACAACATTACATCACTATAGCTTTCAAGAGCAAACTTTGCACCAACACAGACAAGATCAACGTATACAAATGGGCCCAAGACAACATCTTACTTTATTTTACCAACTAACTTAAATAATGGTACATAACGAAATTGAGAATCACTATAAAGAAGCAGCAATAAATAATACCAATAAAAGATTTCTCAAGTTTCTTTCTTATTCACGTTAATATTCCTCAGAACTAAATTCCACTCACCACTAAAAATGTTTCAGGGAATGATTATTCTTATTAAAACACAACAAAAACGTGTTCAATACATCAGCTACAATTTCATCGCCAGGAGCTAATCTACTTTAAAAGTACATGTATTGATGATGATGTTTTTTTCTGCTGTATGCATAACTTTTTATTTTTAAAATTGATATTCTGAGTAAAATTTTCATGGTTCTTTTTTGGCCTTAATTATGGGTAATTTAATATTTTTATTTTTTAATAAACCTAAGAAAGTCATATGTAAACCCATAAATCCAGTTTTTTACATTTACTTTAAAGGTTCGTATTTAGGTCTTTGCAGTTTCATAGAAATGCCTTTATTTCTGTATTCTGTAGAGTGCAAGTAAGTTTTCCTCGCTTTACTGAATATTTTTTAACAGTTATAATCAATCTTCCTCTGCCAAAATAAACCAAGACATATTACTAATAATTTCTCTTCAAAATTAAACTAAGTAGATCAGATCATACAAGTTACTACACATTAAAGAAGCTGATCTTATACAGTACAGTAAGTATAACTACAAGTATCATTAACCAATTCACAAAAAAAAGATCTTTAATGATTAAAATACAATGATTCATTGGTTGGGTACCATTGCTATTAATTCTTTAAACCCGAGCAGGTGCTCCCAGCGTTTGGCCAAAAATCTCGATTTACCCATTAAATAGTGACAGTGTCTGATAACATTTATGTCTCTTTGGCTGAAAAATAATATAAACCATGTTATTATCCACCTTTTATAAACAGACTGGAAATTTTGTAAGGTATGATAATAATTATTAGGACATCATGAAAATAATTCTGGCAGAACATTCAAAAAATTATGGGTTTAAAGAGTTAACAACAGTGTTAACAGAACATAATGTTTAGGAACAACAAGGGATCTATTGATCCATCTCAGCTGTCCCATCCTCTAAACTAAACTAGAAGTATTTAAAAATCTTAAAGCCAGCCCTTATAATTCATAGTTATCAAGATTTCTCTTAAGCTAACATAAATTTACTTCCTACATAACATCTGAATGCAACCCATTCAGAGGTCAACCACCCTGTTAGAAAAATAAAACTGTCTTAGCTGAAGATTAGTCACTCTTAAGTATGAAAAAAGATTATGCATGGACACTATCAATTCCCTTTACAATCTTAAACACCTCAATCAGATCCCCTCTAACTCTTCTTTTTCAAGAGAAAACAATTTTAAAGATTTTAATTTCTCCTCATATGACAAACCCTTCATCCCAGGCACTATTCTAGTAACCTTCCTCTGAACCACTTCCAACAATTTAATGTCCTTCCTAAGATAAGGAGCCCAAGACTGAACACAATACTCCAAATTTAGCCGAACCAATGACCTATACAATGAAATTGTAACCTCTTTAGATTTGTATTTAATATTTATGTAGATACAACCTAAAATCCTATTTGTCCTACCACTAGCAACAGTGCAATGCTTGGATGGCTTAAGAGACTGATCAACCATTACACCAAGATTTCTTTCATAACATTGTTAAGAATATTCCCATTCAAATTATGATAACCCACAGATGTTATATTGCATTTTTTATAATTAAAACCCATCTGCCATTTAATATAAATCATTTTGTAAAGCAGCAACAGTATCTTCCTCACAGCCAGCAACACCCAAGATTTTAATATCATCAGCAAATTTAAGCAATTTATTGACCATTCTTTTATCTATGTCATTGATGTAAATTAAAAAGAGCAAAAGGTCCTAAAACTAAGCCATGAGGTATCCTATTTGTAACATTAATCCAGTTTGACTGAGCTCTATTTGTAACAACCCTCTGCTTTCTATCATCCAGCCACTCTTCTATCCTATTTGCTAACTTATCCTCCCACTTATAGAGATATTTTTTTTACAAGCCTTCATGCTGTACCTTGTCAAAGGCTTTCTGAAAATCCAGAAACACCAAATTTACATCCTTACCCTCATCTACATAAGCAGTAACCTTTTCAAAGAATGTTAGAAGATTTGTAAGGCAAGATTTTCCTTTAGTTAAACCATGTTGACTATGCAATAAAATCCTAAACTTTGTTAAATGACTTTGCAAAGCATCTTTTATCAGACTTTTCAAAACTTTTCCCACAACTGATGTAAGACTAATAGGCCTATAATTACTCTCAGAATGGTTTTACACAACTATAAAGCTAAACAATAATTTCATAAGTTGGTTTTCTACAAGTTCTCAAACAAGGACAAAATACCTGTCCACATTTTTGAAAAATATTCAAGTTACCTAAAATGCAATATCCTATTGCAACCACTACCATTAAAAGCAGTTTAGCATAACCACAACTCTATTTCTGTTCATTCATTTGACTCAACACTTGAAACCAGGAAATTATACAAAACACACATATATATATACAGTCTACAACCCAAACACACTCAACAAAATCATGCAAGTTCTTGATGTTTAATCCCATCTGCTTATGATAAAAAATGCTCTGCACATTGTTCAAAAGTTACGATAGTGTGATCATTAGCATAAGATATCAGGTAGCACAACCAATGAGATCTAAACTTAAGCAGAACTTCTTTGTACCATATTTTTCTTGAAACACATTCAAAATGATCTGATCATGACCAGAACTACCTTCTAATATATCTAGATCTGATCATGACCAGAACCATCCCCACTGTTTTGCAGAAGTGTGTGTACAGATACAGTTATGAAGGAACAAATGGTCTTTTTTTGTCTCTAGAGTTATGTTATGTCAGCCTCTAACAAGTCAATGGGATCTAAAAATTAAAAAACATTATCATATGCAACATCAGTGAATGTAATCATCAAAATAATTTCCTTTAAATATTCCAAAATATCTTAATCTAGTAACTTTTGTGATTTATATAATTATTATAAATGAAAACTATCTCGATAACTAACCAATACAGATCCTCCCATTCATAATGGCTATTGTTGCTGGAACAGCTCCTTGATTAGTTACAATTTCTTCAACAGCTACAGCAGTCCTGGAATAACAAGATGAAAGGCATATGAAGTTAACACTTTACTCCAAAAATTTCAATTCAAAATTCTTGAACAAAACAAAATTCCATGAAAACTTAAATTTTTAGCGAATAAACCATCCTTGTTCATATATGTGAAACAAATGATTAAATCTTCTAAAGAAGTAAAATATAAACTGACTTTAGATTTGCTGGATAGGGCATTCCATGGGTGATAATTGTAGACTCCAATGCCACAACTGGTTTTCCAGATTTGATTGCTGTTGCCACATCCTCAGAAAATTTAAATACATCTGTAAGTTAAAAAGCCATTCATATCACAGACAGTCTTCACAAAACATTTTGCCACTTCATAGATCACACCACATACTTTAATTGTTAAAAAAGAAATCTGTATCTAAATTAAATATAATTTTTTTATTAAAAACAATAAATACATTATCAATGCATGTTTTGTGTTTGTCTTTATCACATGAATGAATACAAATCATACTTCAAAGACTGGCATAACCAGTGACTGAGATCCACCAAACTATAGGTGTTTAAGGTCAAAATGTGAAATAACTGCTTAAAGTGAGTAACTATTTAGTGAAAGTACTTATTTAACATCATCGTGTTAGTATGATGTGATAGCTTATATTTCTATTTTTCTTTAGACTTCAATCCGAAAGTTATAACAGATTTTCTGGGTCTCGTGTTCAAAGGGTCACTTTAAAGATGTCATCTAATTACAATCAGTTGGTTAACATAAGTATCAATTTGAACTTCCATTTCACTTATGTAATAATTAAAGATGCCAAACACTTCACTAAGTCCTTCTTATTTAGTAATTAAAGATGGTAGACACTTTACTGAGTGTCATCTTATTTAGTGATTACAGATTGTAAACACTTCACTGTCATCTTATCTAGTAATTAAAGATGGTAGACACATTGCTGAGTGTCATCTTATATAGTAATTAAAGATGGCAAACCCTTGATTGAGTTCCTCTTACCTAGTGATTAAAGATTGTAGACACTTTGCTGAGTGTCATCTTATTTAATCATTACAGATGGTAAATAACCTTTATTTCACTGGCAGTATGCTAACCAAGTACGTCAAATCATTTCAGTATACAAGTGTCAAATGCGATGTTTTATGAAAATGTTTTATTTATGATCTTGAATATTTGGTATTCTGAAAAAAGTTAAAGCCACTAAAAAATAAAAATACTAATACAACAGAATTATTGCTCAATTTGAAATATTGCAGATTACTCAACTTCAGAAACAAGATTTTATTAAAGGCATATTCATTATTGTTCCTTATTCAAAGTAACTTTACTCACCTTTTGACAAGGTCCATTTTTTTCTAGCCAATTTGAGTAAACACCCATACTGCAAGATACCACTAACTTTGGAAAGATTTAAAATTATCTTTCTGTGTTGCAGCACAGCCATTGAAAATCTTCTAAACAGAATAACATCAAACAACATAAGATTACCAAGATGCATTGCTTCTTTCATCATGCATTAGAATTATGTTGTAAACTCAACAATTAAACTTAATGTATACCGAATAGTTTTCAACTAAAAAAAGAACTTTAGCAACATGTGTATATACACATTGAACTGAAATCCTATAAACAAGTTGGAGCCACTAAATATTTTGAACAATCTTCATATTACAGTTATTTTGTTTCTTATATTAATTATAACAAAATATTACTTTTTAACAGGCCAATGACGTACATATGACGTAAGAATTACAACGATGAAAGGTTAGTTTGAAAAAATATATTGAAACTCACTCAAATTTAAAAAGAACAAAAACTCTGGTGTATGCATTTTTATAAAGGTTCCGATATCTTAGCTAGTGTAATATAAAACAATTAAAATACTTTTCTAAGAATACTGCACTTTAATATCGTAATGCCATGGCATAAGACACCACCAAATTAAATCTACTTAACTCTTAAGACAAGGTAGAAACTTAATTTGCTCTTATAAAAACACTTTTAAATAAATACAAAATAAATAACAAATAACAGTGATACTGGGAAAGAAAAAGTTCTTAAAAAACTTTAGAGTAACTCAAAGAAGTAAAACCACCTGTCTCACGAGCCACTAGCTACACAGTAAACTAAGTATTCAAATATTATTATTAGGTGAACGATTAGTTACACATACATAGAAAGTTGTCATTAAAACTTAAATAAAATTAAAAGCGTAAAGCAATAGCCGCGTTCTAATACTTCTAATTTTAATCTTCAGTCATTAAGTAAGAATTTAAAAACTTGCATATTCCTAATAAAAGTTCATTATTTATGTTAGAACTTACTTTTGTATAAGTTTCAGAAAGAATGTATATATATATATATATATATATTCCAAGTTCTGCACAAACAAAATAAAATCACGTGAAAATTAAGGTTTAAACGTCTTGGCTTGCCTGAAGCGACACTTTTTGAACAGCTAAAACTTGCGCTACTAATCAAATTAAAAACAAGTGGAGAAAATAATTAAAAATTAATGTTAATATGTATAGAACATTGCTACAAAAATCGGGGTAAATATAAACATATAAAATACTTGCATACAAAAGATATATACAACTTCTAAATCTGTATGTTAATTATTTTATTCTTTGGCTGATAATAACACGATCGTTTAATCCGAAGAAACTCAACTAAATATTTACTGCATGCCATTCACGGTGAATTTTATGTTTTCTAATACATGGCTGGCTTACTTATACAACTCGAAGTGCTATAATCATTCAAACTATTAGTAAAATTTTTTGTGGGTCGTCGTCTTTCTCTTTCTTAAATGAGTTTGGCTCAATAATAAACTAATAATAAAAAATAGCACTAATTTGTATTGTTCAGTTTCCCTGTGATGCTAATTATGTTATTTTCTTTATGACGAATTACGTATGAAATATAAATTATTGCTGCTTTATTGTTACTATTGTACTTGTCTTTGAGTGATGAATACTTTCAACTGAGTATAGGTGGCGGCATCTTGTATTGGTGTTTACCACTGCTGTAATGAAGGTGTTAATAATAATGTTTCATGTTTAACACTGAAATACTGACTTAAGATATGCGACTAAATGTATTTTAGGTATAAATAAAATGTATAATAATTTAACCAATTACATTTTATTGGAATAAGCTTCAATGTAACACATATGTTGGCGTGGTTTGAATGGTTATTACCCAGAAGTGCTATTTATTGCGAAAAAGAAAGACCTGTGAGAGTCTACCATGTAAGTAAGACAAGTATTTATCTTTTAAATAAGAAAATAATATATTTAATGAACGGCAACTGTATATTTTAGTGACGTTTTGTAAAAGATGGTGACATATGAGAACGTTGTTATGTCAAATCCTCATTAAGAAGAAACCAAAGTATTGTTATTGAGTTTGAAACATGCTTGCTCTGATATATACTATTGTTGTGTATCTGCTCGTTTGTTAATTTCCGGTATAATTTTTTTCCGAGGAACTTCAGCGATACAAGTCCTTTCTTAATTAAAACTACACAGAATTTCCACAGTCACTTTAAATTTAACAACCCTTATAACACACGCTACAAATCACAGTGATTCACACACACTTTACTTAAGGTGCCTACTGTTCGCTTGACTCAGTTATCTATCTCTTCGATCTATCTGCATAACTATCTATCGCTGGCTTTATTTACCGGGCTTATATACTAAAAAGGAGGGCGTTTGGCAAACACTCGGATATTCGCGGAATTCCTCGATAAGTCATGACCCTTATAGAAACTCCAGCGCGCATGCTCCCAGCGTCGCTTGACTTCCGCTGTCGTAACACTGCCCTTTCCTTAGT